CGAGACATTTGTGCTTGAGAATAATACATAATCTGGCCAGTTATACAACTGTAGTAAAGTGTACCGTGAATGCAAAATGAATCAGCCACTCTAGAGGTTATGTTGTCATGTCATCACCAGCATTGAATAGCCCTAACTCGGACGAACGAAGTCACATACCCTGCACGCCTACCTCTCCGACGACAACTAAACTCACAGCGCCGTCACCTCTTGACCCCAAAAAAAAGAAAAAAGGTAGGCGTCCGAATTCTGAACTCTGGCTAAGAGATAGGACTAACTCACTTGGTGACATTGAAAAGTATTTAGCAAATAACAAAAGACCTAGAGATACTTCAGATACCCACTTGGAAACGGTACCAAACTCTTCTAAGTAATTCAAGAGATACAACTCCTCCCCTGAGATCTCCCCCGAGAAAGCTACAAAACCTGACTGCGTTATGGGATCACCTGCTTCTGAAGGAATTATTGTTCCTCCACCTGTGCCTCCCAACTTCGAGGATCTGTCCAGCCAAGATGCGTTCAAATGGATGGCAGAACAATTCATATCCATGTTCAAAGCCAACCAACAACAATTCACGCAAGTGAAAGAGACAATAAAAGAAACATCAAACAAAGTACAAGAACACATCAAAGCATTAAGGGACGACTATACAGTGCTCTCAGAGGAAGTTAAAGACATCAAAGCTCACCAAGAAGAAATGGACAAACGACTCCAAGCTGTAGAATCTGGTAAGAATATTGAACCGCAAATCAGTCTAAAAGATACTCTCGCTCCATTTATTTTTAGGATTGAAAACGTGGAGAGGAATCTAAACTCAGCCTCAAACTCCAGACCAGATACAAAAGTATTTTCGAAGCTGGACAAACTGTCCAGATGGGTGGAAACTCAAGAAAGCAAGTCTCGCAGACAAAATATTGTAATCAAAGGGCTGTCGACCACCAAGCCAGCAGAAGAGATACCCACATTCTTGGAAACAACCTTCAGCATACCACGCGACGACTGCAAGCTCATCACCCAGGAGGGCAAAGACAAGGATGTATAGTGAAAGGAAATTTAGTATAGACCGGATAGCTCAAATGGTAGAGTAGCCGACATGTCTTCGGAAGATTCTGGGTTCGAATCCCAGTCCGAGCTATCTAATAATTTTTTTCTCGCATATTCTATAAACTCACATTAAGATGATCCTCTCCACAATCCTTTCTCAATCCTTTCCTACCAATTATCCTGTTACGTGAATGTTGGAACGCTTCACGTAATAATTATCCGTAACTCCTATTCTTTCCCGCTTCACAGCATTATTTATATTTGTTAAAATTTAGTTTTGTAAGAGGGACGGTGTGGCTTAATGTATATAGAATAAATGAAAGGAAATTTAGTATAGACCGGATACATCAAATG